GATGCTTAACCTGGCCAGCTGGTTGATATTCTCCCACTCCTCTCCAAACTTGCTCTCTTCACCCAGCATTTTTCTGTCATCAATAATCTCATTTGTTCACAAATGGAAAAAAAAAAAAAAAAAAAAAAAAAAAAGAGAGAGAAAAAGAAGGCGAAGAAGGAAGAGGAGAAGAAGAAGGAAAGAAAGATAAATAGATAAATTCTCCTCACCTACTAGGCACCAGTGATTCTACTCCAAATCCCGAAGGCATGATGCTATAGGTTTCAGAAGCACTGTCTTTCAAACTACTTTGAAGGATATTTTCAGAAAAGTACCACTCTGCTTTAAATGGCACCATGCAGCCCAAACCAGAGGAGGATCAGCCATACCTGGGCCTTCAGACAGCTGGCCAAAAGTGACTGGCTACTGTTGAAGGCTGGAGGAACATGGGTGTCTTCACCAATGGTGCAATCCAGCAGTTATAGACTTGCTAAATTACACAGGCTGTGTGCCTGCGCGTTTACTGCACTCATCAAATGGCAAGCTAGCACAAAAACGCAGTTGACAGCTGCTAGGGTAACATGCTGGATTCTGGGTATGTCAGCCTGCCCAGCTGCTCTTTACAGAGGTTTATAAAAAAATCAAAGCATGTATCATGCGATTTTTCAGTGCACATTTCTGTTCTGACACATTGCTGTGGTTGTGGGCGGAAGATCCAAACAAAATGACGGTGTTGCTTCTCAGCAGCCGTATCATTTTAGTTGTTTTTGAACTCCTAGGTGCTTCTATTTCTCAACAGAAGATTGAGAAATAGTCTTCTGTGTCTAGGTAGAAATATATTTATTTCTCTGTTAAAAAACAATTAAAGTTTCATCTTGTGACCACAGGAAGATGAAAAAAAAAAAAAAACAAGCACAATCACTACCGTGTTTTAGACAATTACCCTGATGATCAACTATTTTAAACAAAACTGCAGATGCTAATCATCAACTGGAAGTTTTTTCAGATGAGATGTACAGATAGTAAGATGTACAAAGCCATAAATTCACTAGTAATACACTTCACTTATGTACTTTATACAAAAAAAGAAAAAAAAAAAAATCTAACTTTAAAAGATTCAGTGTTCCAAACCAATTAATCTTAAACTAACAAATGCATATTAATCTCAACTTCCTATGAGCTGGGCTATGCATATGAACGTACAGAGACCAATTGATGAAACATTTAGGGGATAATTCTATTTCTGAGACAACTAAGTAGTTATCCTTTAAATTCCTCAGCAACTCCTTCCCATCCTCCTTCCCTCTCACTCTTTTCCTCTTTGTTAGAGTAACAAATTTGGTGTTTTGCACGCTGCTTCCTTCACTGAGACTTCACAGTCACTTTCACAGTGCAATTGTTAATTGTCAGTATAATTTGCCCACTCAGTAGAACTATCCTCAGGATCAGGACACCACTCATAGAGATACATATAAACCACCCAGTCTAAGGTTAGTTATCCCTAACACAAACCTACATCCTTCTGTATTTACCTTATTTTTTTTTCAGTGCCAACGAGACAAAAAAGAGGGCTCAAAGCCTTTAATGACTTCAAAGACTTTAATGCAGAAAAAGAACTGTGCTTTGGAAAGTATGAAGAGATTCTCCTGCATGAACAAGTCATTAAAACTTCAGTTGGATGTTTTACATCAGTAAGGAAGAGGGAAAAAGCTCCTATTCACTGTGCAAAAATTTCATTTCAATGTGTAAGTGAAGTGGGTTGGATAGGAGAATGATATAGAAGCATCAGGGAAAAAATCAAATCAGAAAAATCACAGGAGAAAAATACATGCAGAGGAAATTGGAAGTTTCAAATTGAAACTTTCAAAAGGCTATCTCAGTACTGTGTAAATGTAAAAGATAGATGAGATCATGGGTTTTTTTGTACGTGCAATCAGATATACTTTTAAACAAATTACTTGGTCTTATCCAAATATCATCCAACAGGTTTTCTCCTTTTATTAACATAACATTCATATGAAGAGATTGTGTTTGTTCAACTCATTAGGATTTTTTTTCTTAGTTATAAAACTCATTAGATTCATAGTCATTCCATACTGAAATTATTCCATACTGTGATGAATGTTCTTTAACATATACTGAATAATAATTCAATACTACTAAGCACTTCGCTGTTTTATAGGCTGTCTTGGAGAATAATAAGTTCTGCAGAGGCTATACGCATGAAAAAAGTATTTCTGCCTTCACTTGTGTTTGTCTATTTACTTAAACAACCTCATCCAGACTCCACTGAGGTTTTCCCAGGATTATCATTTTAAGATGAAACTTTCCCCCTAACCATACTTGGTTTTAGTCTGGATAACAACAAAGAGATTTTTAGTGAAACACCAAAGTGATGTTGGTCTGAACTCTGGGTTCATCCCTTCTAATTCACCACAACAGAGTTATGTAAGCTCATAGCTAAAAAGATTACTCATCGAACTACTGAAGTCAGACGTAGATTACAAAATCAGGTAATGCTACTTCCAAGCAATCACTCTTTACATTTAATTTCTTGGTGTTTTGTTCCAGTTCATCTGTGATGTTCTTTATAAACCAGCAGAAGAAATTTCAACCTCAATATCATTCTTAGGGAGCTTTTGTTTGTTTGTTTTCTTTTTCTTATTGCCCCCCCATTTGTTTGTTTGTTTTTGAAAATTATCATCTAGACCTGTGACACAATGAAGTGAGACAAGGTATAAAACATTTCTGAGACTAAAGGAAACATACCTGCAATAATTCCTACACATGGTCTATGTCCAACTGCTATTCTCTTTAATAGTGCCCACACTCTTTTCTGAACAAATTTAGGCATCATTTACAAGAGAAAATTAACATTTTAGCATTCATGGGTTGTTCAGAGTACCTTCTAAAAGTACTGAACAATACCACTGAAACAATGCCATAAAAACATTCACAATCTCCATGATTTGTGCATTCAAAACTTCTGTTTATCTTCTGAAGTAATATTTGAGCAAGATGAACATGGGAGCAGACAATTCATGACAACGTTTCATTCACTTGAGTGCCATCTGTATCATAAATTATTCATATGGAATTCTAATACTGAGTTTCATAGAAAATTAATTTGTATTATTTTCAGCTACTAAAAATGGGTTAAAGATATAAGCATTCATATGCTATGTAAATTCACAGGTCAAAGTGTAAATACATGATAAGATTTTTCCCTCTTTCCTCCCATCCATTTTGTTTTCTCCCTGATACTCAGAAACAAAGTGATGCATAAAAATGCAGTACCTTTTGGTATTTTGACAAGCTTTTTCTTGAACAGCTTCACATACTTTCCCTTCTATTTAATTTATTCTCCTTCCCTGTGGTTTCATTTCTTTTTGTTGGATGAGAAGTAGCAAAAGCGATGAAAGAGTAAGTGTGAAGAAAATGTAAGGTGAAAAGAATGAAAACCTCAGTGATGCTCTGGCAACATCTAGAGTGGTTAGCCCACAGCTGAGAAGGACACCTCAGTTCCTCCTTCAGGCTACAGAAGCATTTTCTTTAGTATGGGACAAATAATTCAACTTCTCTGATGCGACTTCCCCATCTAAATATGGGTCAGAATTACAGCATCTAACACTTCTTAATAGTATCACGCAAATATAAAAATGTTCTTTTCACAAAATATTTGCAAATAGGAAAATAAAGCAAAGATTTTAGCCAATTAATTGCAACTGTTTAAAACAAGAATATGTAATTGCTTGAAAGCTACCTATTATGGCTCATATATTCATTCCTTAGCCAAAGTAAGCAGTGTTTCTTCAATAAGCCTCTCTAAATCCAACAGATCAATAATGATGACACTAGTATCTCTATATGTACACCAGACAAGATGCATCAGTCATGATGATTACATCTCTTCCAGTCGTTCAGTATTATAATAGTAATAAAATCCATGTGCTGGAAGACTAACACACTCACTGCATCCAGTATGAAAATTAATGTCTTGGGTTTTATGGAACAGGAGGCCCCTATGCTAAGGTCTTGCACTTTGCCATTTAAACTGTCCTATTATACAGAAATTTACCATTCCCATTCTCAATGACATGCTACTGTTGACCTTAAGTGTATATTTATTTTTCAATAAAGCCCTCTTTTTCACTGACAGAGAAATGTACAGTTCACACATGTATCTATGTAAAAAAAAATAATCAAAATTATTATGTAACACACATCATATTCCAATCTGATGGAGGATTTTAGTCAGTCATAACACAGAAACTTTTTAAACCACCGTATTTTTATTTGCATGCACATGTGAAAGGCTTTAAGTTTCAGTGTGGCAAAGAAACATTTCTGAAATCAAAATGTAGTTCAAACCCTATGTAGAGAACGAGTCATTATTACTGTCTACAAATATATCAAAGATGTGCAGTAAGTTTTCTTCTTCTGCAGGGCAGAAGTGCCAAGAGGACAAACAATTCTTTTATTTTTGTATTAGAATGAAAAATAGCTCTTTGAAATCTAATAAAACCAGTCACCCTACTTCAATTCTGTAAACATTCTTTTAGCAGAAATTTAAATTAATCCATCTTAGATTAGGGATCACTCACACCAGACCAGAACGGAGCTACACACTTTTAAATAGAAAAACAGTCGTGCTGAAAGATAACTCATCTACCAAGTAAAAGCTCCTGAGGAATTGCTCAAAGGCAAAAATAAACAAAGAAAACAAATACATTTAGAAATGCTCTCGAACACTGAGGCCCAGTGTTATTTTGTGATGTGTATGAAAACACTTTCTGACAACAGATGCAGACATCCTTGGCGATGAGGTGAGTTAGAGCAGAGTGGAAGAGAATTCACATTTCAGCACTGAGAAATAATTTTACTCATTCATTTTAGTTTTTGTTTTGTTTTGTTTTTTAAGACTGTAAGAGAACAGTAGTAAAAGGCTCAGGGCTACTAAAACTGAATTAACTGTGCATACACAGAGAAAGAAAAGAAAGGAAAAAAGATTAGTTCCCTACCATCTCCAACAAACTGAAGGAGGGCTAGATCAATTTGTCTTTTCCAAGGTGATCCTTTCTGAAGTGCTATTCCATAGCCTGTAGTGGCAAAGATGTATCCACTCCCTATTGTGACAAGTTTGCAGCCTTCATCTCTTCCAGCCTTGTAATTCAGCACCGCTGCATCATAGATGAAAGCATCCAACTTCCTGAAATAAAAGAAAACATTTTACAAACCAAATCATTAGGGACAGCTGTCGTCAGACTTCTTTTCTCCTTGATGTTAGGACCTTGTTAAATATCATATGGATTCTTTGATATCATTAATACATCTCCTGCTCTGCTGTATCTAAAATTAACAAAAGGCATCTATTTTAGTGAGGGGAAAGTAGGACACACAGTTTTGCATTTCTATTTTAAGGGATGCTGTTAAAAAATACTGAGCAGGAGAAACCAAGCTACAAAATGTCTTGCCCTGTTATCTTTGTATCTTTGCTCTCAAAATGGATAATAAATATCTTGAGGTGCAAAATGATCTCCAAAACCAACAGAAATTACAACAGAGAATTTAGAACTGAAACAGCAATAACCAATTGGCTTATTTAAAATACTGAATGAGACTGAAAACATGACTTCACCAGTTTTCCACACATACTGCTATTTTATGTCTCTTTCCAAAAATAAACAATGAAGGTGGAAGTTAAGTCCTTGCTAAGACAGAGGAAGGTATTGGAGCATATCTGATACAGTACCTAAATTCTGCTCAAAAGTTATAGAAAATATTTCTTTACAATTCGCAGTTCCAAATGTATTATCTGTGTACCTGGAGCATAGTAGGAATAAAGGAACTTGTGGAAAAGTTCAAGCCTTTCAGTCCATCTTTCAATCCCTATCCATCTCATGCTAAACCAAGAGAAACACCAGGAGGGAGGTTGTTGGATTTTTAATGCTGTCATGAAAAAGCGAACAGTGAAGTAGCTGCCACTACTTACTGTACTTTATTGCTTCCCTACTTATCCCAACAGTCACCATTCAAGTCATCAAATTGGAATTTAGTGAAGTAGCTAATTTAAAGAAAGTACAGATGTCTCATGCAACCATTAAAATAAAGATCTGGGACACCATTTCCTTTGTTTTTCCACTCTTCCCTAAGAAATTGGAAATAAAATATGGATGGCTACCTACCACTAAGGGTGAGCAAACTGGAAATAGCCAAGAGGGTGCTGGGGTACTACCCAAGCCTGCAGTCTTCAACACAAGACAAGACAGTTTTCTAAATTATGTGCTCTCGTGCTTTAATTCAGCACTTTGGAGACAATCTTTGGTTTGTGTAGAGAGAAAGAACAAAAATCTACATCCTATGGGTTGGCGCACACAGGAAAAAAAGAAAACTGCTTGCCGTACCCTCAAGATGCTCGTAACACTTCTGATCTACAGCAGACAATTACCATAATCAATACAATCCAGTCTCGTGTTTTCAGACCTCTGCAGTTATCTGTGGGGAAGGAAGGATACTGGATGCCTTTGGCTCAGGCAAGGGATTGGAGGATAATGCTCCTATGTGGGTACAGACACTGCTGCAGCCAGCCGACACTCTGGAATTTGTCATCTGTTTATTCTGGGGTTTATAGTTTTGCAATGTAAGCATATAAAACACATGCTGGTAAACACAGAGAAAATACAGAGAGTCAGCTATTCTTCTGTCAAAACAGACTCAGTCAGAAATACAGAGGAAAAAGATATCTTTGCTAAAGACTCCAGGGCAAAAGCCTTGTGCTACCTCAGAAATCGCAATCTTCATATACAGTTTGCCTCCTTAGTTACTGAGCAGTATAGTAAAACCTTGGGACAGAAAGAGAAGGCACAATCACAGTTTCACTCAGTCGCTGTGGACCCACATACCCAGAGAGTCAGGCATCAGCTGCAGTGGATACACACAAGGAAAGCAGGTTCTGAAGATGAAGAAGGCTTTACTTTTGAGGGTTTTCCCTATACTACTTCTATAAGGTCACAATACATCTCATTATGTAAAATAGATTTAAAAACATGAGGTACTTTTCTGACGGATGCTGAGTGCTGAAAGGTTCTGCTATCAGGTGCTGCCCAATGTCTGAACTGTAAATCACAAAGTTGATTTCCCTGCAAAAGTCTTGCAGTCTAAAAGTACAAACTCATATTCAGAATATATTTTCTCCATTTCCAACATAAATCTTATAACCTCTCAAGGCTTAATTATCTCTTCATCATGTGCTGATTACAGAAGTACTATTCCTTGCAAAGCAAAGCTTCAGAACATGATGTTCCCCTGCAGCGTGGGCAGGGAGTAACAAGCCACGACTGAAGCTCTCAGATCTTAGGGCATCCAACTCTTCCATCACTAAGAGGTGAACTTCCTGACACTCTGAATTTTTAAGAACTTTCAGACAACTTTAAACATTCCTCACTAAGAGTTTCCAAAAACTGAGACAGCAAAGCCTGGGGAAGTCTGAAAATTTGACCCTTTCCGAGTTGTGTGCAAAGATGATAGTGAGCCTAAATTCAGGAAGACAAAGCAGGCGTTCGCACAGGCCAAGACAAGGCAGGCATTTGCTCAGTCCAGCAGGCTGCTGAGGTCACAGGGGACTTTCCCTCCCGCCACGTCTGTGCGGGGAAAGCCACATCTGCTGCTTTGCTGGGCACAGGCAGAAGAGCCAGGCTGCGCAACGGCAGCGATTGCTGGGCACAGTGGCCCATCCTTGTCTTGTCACGCTCAAGGCAGGACTGGCAAGCCTGGATCTGTGCTCCAGCTCACCCTTTTCTTCTTTCTCTTCTTTCTCTACAGACTGGCAAGCCTCAGGATCTTTGTTCTTGTGGCAGAAAAATTCAACCGTGCTACACAGCTGAGAAACTTTGTATTGGTCTGAGTGCTGACCACTCTGCTATTTAAATTATGTATTCACTGTAAAAAATCTTACACACACCGAGTACAGCTTCCCACATCAAGAAAGGCTCAAAGCCTCTTGCAGACCTTAGTCATGTAAAAATGAATTAATTAACTTGTCATTTCAGTGCAGCCACTTCAGGGGGAGAAAAGCTTTGTCATATTGTGTAGGTTTAAATAAACTGCGAAGAATTATTAAGAAGATGAAAGAGAACAACAGAAACTGGAATGCAGCAAGAAACAAGATTTATAACTGCCATGAACTAGCCAAACGCAGCAGGCATCTTCAATGAATGCAGAGGAACAAGACTACAGTGTTATGACTCATCTGAGCAACTGGCAGATTTGTAAACTTCCTCAGAACTACTGCAATAATCCTGGGTAGGAGAGAAAAACATTTTGGAATATTTATATAAGAGAGACTACAAAAGCACATGTCCTTCATTATCTAGCAAGCACAAAGAGGAAAGGGGGTGGGGAGAGTCTTAGCTCGCTCACACAGCATAAGAGAACATTGAGTGTTATAAAATTATGAATTGGAATAGTTCTAAAAACCTCAAAAGATCATTACTGAATGTAATGATTTGAAGCTGCAGAACTGTGAAAAAAAAATGTATACAGTCTTGTACCTGAACATTTATAAGTCACCAAGAAGTATGAGAGTTAAGAACTCAGAATAGCTATTGCAAACCCCCATTCTCTAAAGTGTTCCTATACACATTCAAAAATGCATGTGTGAAGAAAATTAACATTAGAGGAAAAGGTACAGAAAAGTAATTTCAGAAAATTGAAAACATTTCCCTATAATTTTCCCCATCTTTATTATTAGCACATACTTTTCATCAAATTCCTATGATGAAAATTGAAAACCAGGATTAGGAAAATGCTCTGTTATTAGTCATAGCTTCTCACTCAACAACAGAATTATAGCTCACTTGGGAAATGTTACTTTGCTTCCTTAACCAACCACATGACCTTTCAGCAATTTTGTTTTCTTGATGGAAAAAGAGGGAAAAATCTAAAGCGACAATCTGCTCAGTAGTTCTGGGGACACAAACAGTAATCCAGCACACTAGAAATCAATCTCTTTCAGTTACTTTGTGTCCTGCTATGACCTGTGTCATAGTATTCAGAAAATGAGAGGGATGCTTTAATGCAGTCCTTTTTATTCACATTCTTCTATTTTACTGTCAAGCACTGGAGTCTATGGAACAAACAATGTTTTTCCATTGAGGATCAGAGAAACTGGAACATGACTGAAGTCACCTTCCAGTTTTCAACTCCTGCAGTAAATCCAAATACACAATATCTACAGCAGAATTAATTTCTTGCTAAAGTGGGTACCATTCAGTGCAGTGCTCATCTGTCAGACCCACAACATTAATTTCAGGATCATTTTTTCTCACTCTCATTTCTTTATGTTTTCTAGCACCCCAAATATGTTCTTTTCATGGCCAGACAAAAGCTGTGTATTATTACTAACACAGATTTTACTTACACAGAAGCAGAATACATGTAATTTATAAAGTGCACCACTAGAGCAATTTGGGTGCACTGCATTTTGCTGTAAATAGTTGTATTGCAATGACTTTTCTACATTATTTTTGATGAAGAGTACCTTTTAACTCAAATATGCACCTTCTAGGTCTTGTTCTGAAAAATTAAAGGTGAATTACATATTTAAGAATAATTATTCATTATAAATTATGTAAGTTTTATTCTGATGAAAGATAGTTGATGAAATCAGATCTATTTTTAAAATTTGCCTAGGTGACTTAAAAAAAATAAGAGATGTTATTCCTCAGATTTGTTTGCAAATAAATGCAAAAGAGACTACGAAGAATATTACACAGCAAGTGTCCTACCTGCTTACTAAGGCTCCAGTCATGTCTTTTGAAAGAGCAATATTTTAAATTACCATTTTATTAAAAATATCAGACTGCAAGTCAGTGAATCCTCAAACAATACTTTTAACACCACTCTTGCCCTCCTCTCTTTTTCCCCCCACCCCCACCAACAAGAACATTTTTACTTGTTAAAGCTTTGTCTCCTAAACATAATTTTGGAGAGACACAGCTCATTTTCAAAACATTCTGGAAAAAAACCACTACTTTTCAGCTTTTTTGCTTTTAAGAATAAATTGCACGGTCTTCAGGATAGATGCCTTACATGACACTTAAAGTAGCATTTATAATTTGATATTAGGCAAGAAATTGGTATCCACTTAAGGCTGTATTAAACATAAGCACATATTTTAGAGATCATCAATACCATTGTTGGGAAGGCAGC